TAACATTCAGCGCCAATTACACGTACTTGGTTATTATTCAATAGAAGCTGCAATGTCCAAATCACCACTTTTCTTTACATAAAGAATTATAAATATTCCTGCCAGAACCCCGCCTGATCTGAGATTACGTAAAAAATCCTAATGATTATTGATTTCAAATCCTATTATAACAAAAATCCCTATAAAAAAGTTCTTCCAAGCCCTAGTCAGTGATTAACTTATTGGATCAATATTAGACTAAAGAACTAAATATACAAATATATTATCAGTACTAAGTATCTTTAGAAAAACCACTTCTACATTATATATTTTTCTACAAACTGGTCAATAGCCCAAATCAACACTTGCTTTCCTGAATATATTACTAAATCTATATATATATATTTTAATTCTGCATAGCATATGTGTTCATAGTCTAGGACCACAGAAAAGTAAACTTATTTAACAAAGTGGCCTATAGGTATTTTATTTGATAAAATTATATATTTGAATAACTAACATTATAATGTTAATTATGATTTTTAAATTTAGGAATATTTTTTCATTCTGAAGCTACTTAGTCTCCAAGGAAATAATTCACCTTTATGTTTTGTGATTATAAGAGGATACGTGGTCATTGTAAAAATTCAAACATTACAGAAATATTAAAGATAGAAAATATAATTCTCCTAATCCTAACCCCTCTTGTCCCCTGATAACCACCAATTAATAATTTGGCATACATTCCTATAGATTTTATTTTCTATACATATATTTTAGGCAGGTTTTCACAAAAATTACGGTTTTGGGGGGAGTGAAGAGGGAAGCAGAAATGAGAGAATTCTTTTTTAAATATGCTTGTTAATGCTAAAAATATGCTTAAATGCAAAAGGCAAAATACAAACTGCATATATTGCATAGTCCATATTTTGTCTATGAACAAATATCAAAAAAAGGCATTAGCCACCAGGGAAATGTAAATCAAAGGCACAATCAGATACCACTTCACACACACTAGGATGGCTATAACTAAAAAGACAGATAATAACAAGCATCGGTGAGAATATGGAGAAATCAGGATGCTCACACACGGCTGGTGGGAACGTAAAACGGCGCAGCCCTTTGGAAAATAGCTTGGCAGTTACTCAAAATGTAAAACACAGAGTTACTATATGACCCACCAATTCTTCTCTTAGGTACATCCAAGAGAAAGGAAGACACACAACCACACAAAAACTTGTACATGAATGGTCATTAGCAGCTATTTGTATACTAGCCAAAAAGCAGAGACAATCCAAATATTCCTCAACTGATGAGTGGATAAGTCAAATGCATACCCATAAAAGGGAATATTATTTGATAATAAAAAGAAATGAAGTGCTGATACATGCTACAACATGGATGAATCTTGAAAACATTATGCTAAATGAAAGAAACCAGTGACAAAAGACCACATATTATATGATTCCATTTATATGAAATGTCCAGAAGGGGCAAATCTATAGAGACAGAAAGTGGATTAATAGTTGCTTAAAGCTTGGGAGCTGGGGGAAAATGAGGAGTGACTGTTAATGGCTATGCGGTTTCTTTAAAGAGTAATGAAAATGTTCTAAAATTGATTGTGGTGATGGTTGCACAACTCTGTAAATACACTGAAAACCACCGAATTGTACACTTTACATGAAGTGTATGGTATGTGAATTTTGAGTAAAACTGTTAGAAAATAATAATATTTGTCATCTCTGGATGGTGAATAACTAGTAATTTTTATTTTCTTATTTATATCTTTTTGTGACTTTCAAATTTTTGGTAATGACTAAGAGTATTTATTATTTTTAAGCCAGGGGAAAATTAATTATTTTTTGAAGTGTTTCTTGTGAGAATTAGAGTGATATTATACTAGAGGTTGAGACAGACTTGCCACTTGTATTCATTTATTCATTCATTAAACACTTCCTATGTGCTCCAGGAACTGTCAGAGCATGAGAAAAGTTCTAACTCCAAATCAATTACTTACATCAATTTAACACATACAAGACTCCTCCGTTAACTTCAGAAGATAAATTATGCATCATACCACCAGTGAACTTCTCTGTCTTAATTTTGCACCAAAGGTTATATTCAGTTATGTCAAGAAGTATCAGGAAATTCTTTCATTAAAATAATTGTTTTCAAATTTTAAAACTCATTTTAGTATTAAAAATAAAACCACTGCAACACTTCATACTTTAATAGCAGAAAGGCATACCAAAAATTCAATTAGCAAGAAGGGTAATAACTCAAGAACACTGTGACTCACTTTCTTAAGATACTTTTTGGCTGTCAAGTCAATCATAAAAAGAATCTTTATGTAAACTGCTACCAAGAGGAAAATTAATACAAAGTCAAAAGAATTCCTTGGAAATAGTTTGCCTTGAAGTTGAAAATAACATAGACTGAAAATATGGAGGAGCAGGGATAAGACACATATGCCCAAGCAAAGGGTTATTTTGATGACATTTAGCTAACACCTATCAGCTAAAAATTAAATACTCAATCAGAATCTCCAGGGATAGTTAACACTGAAAGGTTTTCAGGGAAGTGGCCTCATCAAAATTCTTGATTAGGAGAGCAAAACAAGGCATCTATATTTTGAAAAACTTCACTGATTATACTGATGTGCAGCCAGGGTTAATAATCACTGTATGAAGCAATACTACTCAAAGGAAACAAGGGAATGAAAAATTTGTTCTATAATTTAAAAATTAGAGACAATGTAGCAAATACACTGGGGGAAGAAAAACTTGAGAGCAAAGAGACTACACACAATAATCATACTCCAAAAGTCTAGTCGAGAGAGGTAGGCTTGAACTAGGGAAGCAGAAGGCAAAATAGGGAGAAGGGGCTCAAGTCAAGGGCTACCCGTAAAGCAGAATCTATAGGACCGGATGACCAAATGGCTGGGGAGAATGAAGGAGAAACAGAAGGCAAAAATGACTCCAAGGTCTCTGGTTTGAATAACCAGATGGCTAGTGATGACATTAACCAATGAATGGAAGGCAAAAAGAAAAGCTGGTTTGAAAGGTAAAGAATTAATAGAGAAAAGGTTCAAGGGGCTTTAAAGGTTTATTTGTGATGTTCTACTCCTTAAGTTGGATATTGAGTATATAGGTGTGCATTTTATTATCCTTTTTTAAATTGAACATACAAATATTACGAAATTCAACTAGAAACAAAGGGTCAAAACTCAAAACACACTGGGAATCACTGCTTTTATACATTTTTATATGTACGATATATGTACTAAAGAAAAAACGGGAAAAAAAGGAAGGTGAAGATGGCGAATGTGGTTTTGGACCTATTGAATTTGCAGGAACCAAAGAACTATATCACTTGTGAGACAGAAGCTAGAGAAAAGATTTGGAAATGGTTGGCATACAACAATAACACCATGGAAGCCATGGATCTAGGTCAGAACTCTCAAGGAGAGCCTGTGGAAGACCATTTGGATTATAGTGATAGCAGAGAGCCAACTACAAGGAGAGAGTCAACTAAGACTGAGAATAATCAACAGGATAGAAGCTTTTACTAATTCCCTTTCCCTCTCCAAAGGCATACAGAAGAAAATCAATTTTTTTAAAAAAAGCTACCATTTATGGTTATCTCACTATATTCCAGGGGAAGGTCCAGAATTTCCAGATGGGTGTAATCTGTTTGAAGGAGGGCTTGAAGATGCTTTTGCATAGTACATTATATTAAGTTAGAAAATACTAATTGACCATATCAAAAAGTCAAGGGAAAAAAGTTTAAGAGAAATCTTTCCCCTCCCCCTTGGCATCACCACTGCTATGTTCTAGACACATACCAAACATGTTACCTAATCGTCATCCTCATAATAAGCTTATCAGGTAGATGAGGAAACTGAGGCTAGATTGGAACAGCAACTTGTTCAGGGTCGCAAATCTCCTAAGAAGCACACTAACTCTCATCCGTGTTCCCATAACTCTCATGGCTCTTTACAACACCTTAGTAGAGTTTCTCATTACTCATCTTGATATAATGTATATTTATGTGCCTCTCACTGTACTGTTAGCTCCTCAATGACAGGGATTGTGTCATTCATTTCTGTATTCCTATAGCTAAGAATGAGTAAATATTTTGTTGAATTAAGCATATGAAAGAACTAGGTAAGAGTAACATCAAGACAGCCAATAGGGGAAAGAGTTTCAAGAAACGGATAGTCAGCAGCGTCAAATGCTACAAAGAGAGCCATCAGTGTATCTTAAGTCATCATTGGCATTGAACTGATACCCCTTACTCATTTATTGAATGCCTAATATACGCAGGACACTGTGTTAAGCACAACACGGAAAAATAAAATCTGGTACACGTCAAAAGGTTTTCGGGAGAGTAGCCACATCTAAATTCTTGATCAGGAGACCATAACAAAGAGTCAGGCCTGCAACTGCCTACATCTAATTTGGCTCGGGTACATCTGAAGACAACTTAAAGGGGTCACAGCGCATCTTTTAATAAAACTTCTGACGAGGAACACGAAATGAACAAGGGCCAGAGCATCTCAGTCTCAGTGACCACAGCCGGCGGCCAGGGAAGCCGACTCCCTCCGGGGACTCCAGCCCGCTGAGCACAGCTGGGGCTACCCCTAGCTGCCAGTCCGTAGTCTGGGGCGGGAAAAAGCAGACACTTACCGAAAAAGGCACCGCTACCGCCGTGGCCCAAAGGGGCCGGGGATTCCTTCGCGAGGCCCCACGCCGTGGGAGGAAACCAAGGAAAGCAGAGATCAGACAGACCGGTGCGACCCCACAGCCCGGCTTCCCAAACTATGTAACCTAGGGTCCCAGCGCCCAGCTCCGCGACGCCAACTCCCACCAGCTGGAAGACCGACGACTGCCACCGAACCTTCCGCCCAATGAGGAAACGTCACCACTCGGCGTAGCCCAGCCTTCCACGAAGAAGTCCACTTCCGCTTCCGGGGCACCTGCCGCGTTCCTGCAATGCGTTCACCGAAAGGGTTTAGAAAGAATTCCGGCCTCCAGGAGCCAGTTTAAGAAAAAGTGACTTTGCTGAGCACTGCCAGCTAAGATGGGAATGATGAGAGATGGGCGTGCGATTGAGTGTAGGGCTTCCCGGGCGCACGTGGGAAACTCCAAAAGGGGGCGGGGCTTAGGGCTGTTGCAGCCAAGGGAGGCGGGTTCCACCGAGGGTCGGTTCGTGTGTCGGGGCCCGTCTCGGCTTGCGCGTGCGCAATGCGAACCTCGCCCTGCGCTGCTTTGTGCTGCAACATGGAATTCCGCTCCGCGCAGCGAGCAATCCTGCAGCTGCTCCGTAGGGTGGCTCCGGCGGACCTCGCAGCGCTGCTCGAGTGGATGCGAACTACCCGTAAGCGACCAGAGGCAGAGGCAGGCGGTTGGGGCAAGGATATGCTGTGGGGCTGACGTCGGGAATTTATGATGAGACCAAAAGCCGTCGATGGGGTCACTCTGCTGCTCTCTGCTCTGCTACGGCGCAGGTTGATGCGGGCGCATGTCAAACCTTGGCAGGTTCAGAGTCCAGTTTGGGATTGGGTGCAGGAAGTTCTCGCTCTGGGTTGTTTGTCGTGATCGCGCCGCAGACTTCAGAAAAACCGCTAGAGCCTCCTTGTGCCTAACCCCTATTCTGAAGGGAAAACAAAAAAGGGAGAGAGAGGTTAGCCCTCACCTCCCGTTACTCCCACTAACTTGTGACGACCAGTAGGGTACTACCTGAAAAAGCACTTTGCGAGAAAAGTTTTAGGCTGTAGAGCTGGAAGCTTTTACTCTACAGGCAAAATCACCTGCAGCTAGTGCATTTATTTTCTCATTTGTAAAATGGACCGTCAATTTAATAGCTGTTTTTCCAGGGTGGGGGGAGGGAGAAAGAAAGGGGGGAAAAAAGACTTTTAAAGTCTTTTTTTTTTTTAATTTTAAACTGTTAACAAAATTAATAATAGTAATAATAAAAAGCACAAATTAGAATCGAGGAAATGTGGTAATTAGGTGTAGTTATTGAAGAATGAGATAGATCTGTTTTGGCAAAGCGAAGGCTAGTGAAAGTAGAGAAAATAGGATATTCTTTGTTTGAGAACTCTGCCAAATCATAGTGTTCCTCTATACTTCTAAACGTTGATTCCCATTTTTGTTTTCATCCAGACTCATGACTTGAAATATTCCTATTTCCTGATGACTGCCAATTTTACACTTCAAACCCTGACTACTTCTCTCTTTGTGATGTTAGAGTCAGTCAATAGGTTTGGGTATTATTATTATTACACATTTTGGGGGATCATTTTAGATAAGATGCCAAAGTAAAATTAACTTGGACATCTGATACTAGGTGTGGCCTGGAAAGTAGAGAAAATCAGAGAGGTAGCTTCATATTTATACACACATGTAAGATTCAACATAGGAATTTCTAAAATATGCTGAGTCTCCTGTCACTTCACTTAAGCTCTGTATTACCATTTTACTTATATCCCAATTGTTTATAATTAACAGTGCTAATTTCTGTTTGTTGTTTCCTATATTCCTAAGGACAAGATCTTTTATTCCAAAAGCCTCGGGTGCCTACAAAAATGCCACCTGCTGCCTGGTTCTAGCAATTGCACAATTACTAAAACATCCTTGCCCTCAAGATTTCAATTTTGTGGAACCATTTGTAATCTAAATGTACAGTTTTAGAGGAATCAGTTGAGACTCCATTTTTCAAAATCAGGAACACTTGAAAGCATGTTTTGGATGATAATTTTGTACACAAGAATACCCAGCATCATGGGCTAAAGAATACATTTTTCCTTTTTTTAAAAGCATTTTCTGGGGCAGCCCAGTGGTGTGGTGGTTAAGTTCACCTCCACTTTGGGGCCAGGGTTCACAGGTTCAGACCCCGGATACGGACCTACACACCGCTCATCAGGCCATGCTGTGGCAGTGTCCCATATACAGAACAGAGGAAGACGGGCACAAATGTTAGCTCAGGGACAATCTTCCTCAAGGAAAAAGAGGAAGAATGGCAACAGATGTTAGCTCAGGGACAGTCTTCCTCACCAGAAAAATAAATAAAATTAATTTTAAAAAAAGAAGCACTTTCTGTGTCTTTCTCCAAGAGACCATGTAGTCAGAAAAGCTTAAACAATTTGTTAAACAATTTAGAAAACAACCTGAGTTTCTGAAGAATGTTTATTAACATGAATATTTTATGAAATGAGAGTGTCACTGCTTAAGATGAAGGAGTGTCTTTTAATATAAATCTTAAAAAGTAGTGTAATTTAGGGTCCGGCCCCGTGGCATAGTGGTTAAGTTTGCGTGCTCCGATTCGGCAGCCCCCGGCTCCCAGGGCGCAGACCTCCGCACCGCTTATCAAGCTATGCTTGGCAGTCATCCCACATAAAATAGAGGAAGATGGGCACAAATGTTAGCTCAGGGCCGATCTTCCTCAGCAAAAAGAGGAAGATTGGCAACAGATGTTAGCTCAGGGCTAATCTTTCTCACCAAAAAAAAGTAGTGTAGTTTAATAGTATACCATTTTTTTGGTGGTAAAATATACATAAAGTTTACCATTTTAACCATTTTTAAGTGTACAGTTCAGTGGCATTAAGTATTCACATTGTTCAACCGTTACCACCATCCATCTCCAGAACTTTCTCATCTTCCCAAACTAAAACTCGTATACCTTTCTATGAAATGGCTCTAAATATAGCACAAAAGATTCTTCCAATCAACTATTTTTCATTTTCCTAATTGATTTCCCTCTTCTAGGAAAAAAAAATATTTTTTTATCTCTAGTATTAAATCATTTTCATAATATGTTACTTGTATGACATTTGCTTAGACTTTTAATAATTATAACTCTCCTTGAATTTTTATGCCATTTAATGGAAGAGCTAGAGACAGTAATAGGCATTGAGTCTGACTTTGGTTTGAATGTCGAAGAGTTTATTGAAACTAAAAAATATCTACATGTAGCTAACAAGTAAAATCACAATAATTTTTTTTTTTTTTTTTTGGTGAGGAAGATCAGCCCTGAGCTAACATCCTATGCTGATCCTCCTCTTTTTTTGCCGAGGAAGATTGGCCCTGAGCTAACATCCGCGGCCATCTTCCCCTACTTTATATGGGACGCTGAGACAGCATGGTGTGACAAGCGGTGCGTCAGTGCACACCAGGGATCCGAACACGTGCACCCCGGGCCGCTGAAAGGGAGCGCACACACTTAACTGCTTGAGCCACCCGGCCAGCCCCTAAAATCACAATAATTTTAAGTATACAAAAGGAAGAATAATATTCTTGGTCTCTGAAGGAATATTATCATACCAAGACCTGGGGTCATTTATTATCAGGCTAATATAACCAGAAGCTTGGCCAGGGCAGAGCCAAGCACATGTCAATATCTGGTGTAAACTGAAGATATAGAAGAAATAAAGGTGGGAGCCTACATTTTATCTTGGTGCAGCTTAGGCCAACGATCTAGGAAACAAATGAGCACCAGGACAGGAAGGATGAACCAAGTCGGAGGGGCAAAGCACACAAAGATAACCCACCCCCCAAAAAAAGAAAAAGAAAAGGAGTGAAAAATACAGCAGAACCTCAGCTCATTGATTCTGATCTTGTGGCAGAGCATCTGTTCTCTTCTATTTCCTGTATGTGTGTAGAGTGGGCTCTTGATCTAGATTGCAAAGTAGAAGAGAGTGACTGCAGTCCGTTAAGTGACGGGAGGTAAGAGCCAGAACTGCAGGTGGGGTCCCCAGTAAGCATATGAAAAAACACATTGGAACAGCTGTTAACAAACACTATCCTGAAGCCTCTGAATTTTTCCTGGATGTGCAAATACAAATGAGGAAGTCAAACCAGCAGCCCATAAGAGTTTCTATTAAAAATCAAGTTACAAAGGATAGAAAATTAGGGTTTGCTATAAGAAAATTAACAAAACCATCAAGAAAATATTCAAATGCTTAAGGAAGATAACAGTAGGTGACTAGAAGCTTTTAGAAGCTTCTCTGTATCCTATATTTGTTTGTGTGTGTGTGTGTGTGAGGAAGATTAGCTCTGAGCTAACATCCGTTGCCAATCCTCCTCTTTTTGCTGAGGAAGATTGGCCCTGGGCTAACATCCATGCCCATCTTCCTGTACTTTATATGGGGCGCAGGCACAGCATGGCTTGACAAGCAGTGCGTCAGTCTGCGCCCAGGATCCGAACCTGCGAACCCGGGCCGCCAAACCAGAGCTCGTGAACTTAACCGCCACACCACTGGGCTGGCCCCTATCCTATATTTTAAATACATCTTCGCTGAGCAGAATTGGACGTGTTGCTGAGCAGCAGCTACAGAGCTACTAGAGGTTTTTTGAAATTCCCACAAATCTAAAGAGCAACGCCTGGGATCTCGTTACATTTGTCAGACCGCATACTGCTCCAGTTCTATATTGTATTTCCATACAGGAAGTATGAGGAAGTATCCATATAACTTTAAAGATTTTCCAATCTTTATTGAAACCATATGAATTTGTGGAAGTTACCAAGTATATAAGGTAATAAAAATAGATTGTTTTTCCAAAAACTTAAAAGGTGTACTGAGCAAATGGGTACCTCTTAAACAAAATTTTTCTATCAAATAAAAATAATTGTACTTTTCTCTCTATCGCATTTGTTGTATGTTACAAATAGCCATTGATACATAAAAATAATATACATCATAAATAAGTGGGTTTATCCCAGGAATGCACTGCTGGTTTAACATTAGAGAATCAATCAATGTAATTCACCATTTTGACTAAAAAGAAAAAGTATATGATTATCTCAGTAGACATAAAAACAAGCATTTGACGATATCCAACATCTCTTCCTGTGCATCATAGTAAAGCTTCTGGCCAGTACAATATGGCAAGAAAAAGGGGAAGAGGGAGGCATCTCAATTAGAAACAGGTGAATAGATAAATTGTGGTATGTCTTTATAATGGAATACTGCCCGGCAAATAAATGGAATGAAGTTTTATATGCACAACAACATGGATAAATTATGCTAAGCGAAAGAAGCCATAGTAAGAAGAGACGGCATACTATATGATTCCATTTATGTAAAACTCTAGAAAATGCAAACTAATCTATAGGGATAGAAAGTAGATCTCTGGGGGCTTTGTGCATGGGGGGAAGAGAAGGAAGGATTACAAATGGGCATGAGGAAACATTTGGGGATGATAGATATGTTCACTGTCTTGATTGTAGTGATGGTTTCATGGCTGTATGTGTATATATATACATGTATATGTCAAAACTTACATAATTGTACACTTTAAATATGTACAGTTTATTGTATGTCAATTCTACCTCTCTAAAGCTGTTTTTAAAAAATGGCCACAAGTTCTTTGACCCTC